AAAAAAAAAAAAAAAAAAAAAAAAACAAAGGTAAGGCAAGAACATATCGGCTATTTTAAGAAACATTTTAGGATCTTAGACAACTTCATGAAGACATTATCTGAATACTATCTGGGGTAATTTATACTACCACAAGAAGCACTGTTTCTAAATTTAAGAAAATTACTTGTTATATTTTGATCAACTTTATTAAGTTATAAATAAATCAGTTGCTTACAAAATAATAACAGACACACTTTATTCAAACATAACATCCTCTACCCCCAGAGCTCTGCATACACCCATCAAGGAGGATGCCTGCCTAGCCTAACACATCAGTGTTTACACTCCTCACAACTGTACATATCAAGCCACTGGGATACTTAATGGTCTCATACCTTTAAATAACAAAAGGCAAAACATAAAAACCACACATATGCAAAGAAACAAATATCCCCATAAGTCAAACAAAAGTAATTGTTAAATCCGACTAAAAACCCAGGTACAGTGGTGATCACCTATAATCCCAGAACTCTGGGAGGCTGAGGCAAGAGTTCTAGCTTGCCTGGGTAATTTAGTGACTCAGGACCCTGTCTTGATAAACAAACAAGAAAGTAAGAAATAAGGGCTGAGGATGTAACAGTGTGACAGCCCTGGGGATTCAATCCTCAATATAAAACAAAATAAAAAACTAAACTAAACAAACAAACAAAAAACCTCACTAAAAAATGCAGTTGTGATATCTACACTTGACCTTAGCCAAAAGGCTGACAAGCAACTACAATTATGGTGTCTATAAAGAACATTTACTGTCCCCTAAATGCAAACAAATACAAAAAACTTCACTTCACCTAGTCACAGTGTGAGCACAGTACTCTCACCCTCAGAGTGAGTTTGCTTATTTATGGGGAAAATAATATCACTTACCTCACAGGACTGTTGTATGAAAAGCTTCTTGTAAACTACAAAGCTTTATGCTATTCTTGACATATTTAACTCTTCAGACTGTGTAACAAAACTTCCCAACATACCTGTTAGCTTTGCTATTCTCCAAGTCTCTAAAAAGGGTTTCTAACTGTGTTTCTGAATACTTTTGCCTGGTGATATGTGATGTCCAGGTCTTTTATTATGATTATGATAACTTGGAGGAAAGCCATAACTCTGGTTTTAGTGCTAAGAAATCTTTTGCTTTGTATATACTAAATTGACACAACCTGTAATCTCAGCTCTTGGGAGGCTGCAAACAGGCAGATCACTACAAGTCTGATCTAGTAGTGAGACCCTCAACACCCTGTAAGTCCTTCCCTAAAAATACAAAAACGCAAAAATAAAAATAAACAAATAAATTGACACAAATCTTGCTCCAATAAAAACTCCAGTGGAGAGACAACTCAGCAGACTAAAGCACCTGCTTAGGCAAGCTTAGGCAAAGGCAGGGACTGTGGTTTGATCCCACACCACATGCTGTGCCAGCCCTGCCTCCAGGGCGGGCTGAGCTGGCCACAGGAAAAGAAACTCTCCTGGATAACCAACAGTTAAAACTAACAGCAAGTCTGTGATGGTGTACCTCAGACTATTCCTCAGCTTGCTGTTCTCTATATCATGCAGCGTATATTAGTTATAAAATGTTCTTATGCCTGTATTCTCAAACACAATGTTTAAAGAAGGCCTAATTTTTTCTGTATTTAGTTCAGGATCTACAATGTCTCACTACACAGATCAGACTTGTAGTGATCCTCCTGTTTTCAGCCTCCCAAGTGCTGGGATTACAGGTGGGCACCACCACACCCAGTCTCAATCACCGTCTCAGTGTGTGTGTGTGGGGGGGTGTTACACCCGGGATTGAACCCCAGTTCCTACATATGCTTTAATATGCTAAGCCATCTGGCCGGCCCAAGGCCCAATTGTTTTTAAGCAGGAAAAAGTAAAGCCATGACAGGTCTTCATATATTTACGTCTTATTCAATGCCGAACACTCAGATACCAGGTTTCACCCTGTCTAAAATACTTGATATGTAACTAACATACAATGAGACACAAAACTTGGAGTGCTAAAAATTATCATGAAAGCTAAAAATAATACAACTATTTTATACTTATTGAAAAAGTTAACCTTTATTAACATGAAACAAATGACATTTAAAAACTTACTTCTCTCTTATTGTTTAGGAATTCTTAACATACTGCTTTGTTTTCCTGGTGGTATTCGTTTGGTGACACTCCACAGATCAACAGAAAATGCTCCTCAGGAAGAGCCTAGGAGCCCTCATATTAGAGGCTGCCCACCCTTTGAACCTGGCAAGACCATGACACTCAAGCCCTAGTATGACAGCAGTAACAAAAATCATCACAGCTAGTTAGATGTTTCTAACTCTTAGATTAAGTAGTTAATGCTATGTGACACTATCTATCTTCCTCTTGATTGTTCGGATTTGGGAGAGTGAGGAAAGTCCTCATTTTCAGAGGAAGAACACCTACACATCCATCCCATGCAGCCCAGGGCTCCGCAGCACGCCAGGCCGGGCCAGGCAGGGGTGCCCGCCACGTGCTCCCCCGAGGGTCTGCAGCAGTGGCCGACATCTCTCCCTCCCTGGCACTGTTCACCCAACAGCTCTGCCCTCGCTTCTGCGGCCCAGGCTGTCTGCATACATGCACACTTCCCACCTTTCCCGAAACAGGAATGTCCACCGAAACTATCTCAACAACACTGAACATGATGAGTACTGAAGTAAATGTTTACATTTATAGAAATTCAAAGTGATGGAGGCTGAGAAGAAAGTGTATAATAGCATAGTGACAATGAGACTATGACTTTGGAACTAGCTGCCACATTTACCAGAATGTTAATAATTTTAAAAAGTATAAAAGTATCTAGACAAACCTGGCCAGAATCTCATAAATATATACCACACAGGAGGGTGTGGTAGGTTAGCATAACCAATAAATACGTAGTAGAACTTATGGGAGATAGATTTCAAATCAATAAAGGAAGAACTAAGGATTAGAGCTGTACAAAAAATGAATGGGTTACCTTATGAGGTAGTGGGCTCCCTGTCATTAGAAGTATTCAAGAATGCTGCATATCATATCCCCCTCTTGGAGATTCACAATGCACATTAGCATATTAAAGGTTCTGAGAAGTCCTGCAGTAAAGAAACCTGTTTAACTTTGTTTTAACACAGTGTTTCCCAAATTATGACCATAGAACCCTTCCTCCCACCCCATCCCCACCTTGGTAATATTTATTCAGCTTCTGTAGAACTTGAGTTTCTCAGAATACGTTACAGAAAATAATGACCTACTTTTTTTAAATGTAGTAATCAATATGTTCCTGAATAAATAACAACCTGTCAGGGATATAGAAAAAGAAAGTGCCACACAAGATAGAAGGCTGTATAAAAAGGCCCTTAAATTATTCCCTTCTTTAAGATTCTATATTCTGAGCCCGGCAGGCGGCACATGCTTGTAATCCCAGCCCTCAGGAGGCTGAGGCAGGAGGATCACCATGAATTTAAGACCAGCCTGGGTTACACAGTGAGTTCAAGGCCAGCCTGAACTACATAGCAAGACCCTGTCTCAAAAAACAAGCAAATAAACAAGCAAACAAAAAAGATTCTACGATTCTAACACACCACAAAGCAAAAGGTCTACAGGATCTTGTTTATTTTTTAAAATTCCCTAAGAGAAAAGCCAATGAATTAAAAAGCAAAATGCAGAGTTAGCCAGCTCATGTATCTCCCCTTTCATGTTCAAAGTCCACCCTTAAAAATTAAGAGGGATACCTCAAGGAGTATAAATTATCAAAAAGAAACCCTAGCTAAATATCTACTGTACCTCCCCTATTCACTATTGTTAATTACTATTTGGGAGAGAGGACTTCTTTTAAAGAAAGCAGTCTTGTATTAGAGGACTACATAAATTCCAGCTTGTTTGATTTTTTTCATAATAAACACTCTTCAAATAAGGTTAGTAACTGCTTGGTGCTTAGGCACTAGACTGCCCTGTATAATCTCTGATCTTGAATTAGACATTCAAAGAAATGATTAAGTATGATGAGTTAAAGCCATTATAAAATCTACTAAAGCAGATATTAGGGGGAAATGCCCTACATTGTTACCTTTCTCTCCTCTCTCCTTTTCCCTCCCCTTCCCTCTCTCCTCTATTTTTCCGTAAGAATTATATAAAATAACCACATTAAAAACATATCAAATATGAAGCCAATCTAATACTAAAAACATAAATACTTAACAGTTATGAAATTCAAAGTCAAGATTCTCACACTTACATTAACCTAGCCATTTTACATATATACTAAGGACATCGAATTTAACAGCATATTAAATAATACAAACACAATGGGAAGCTTAACTTTTGAACTTACTGACTTTCAAATTGTCAGTCCTAACTACTTCATTAAGGACATCTGTGGCCAAGGGGACCTTTACATTTTAACAGATTATCAATGCAGGAACATGCAAGCTTAGCAGTACTCCGAGAAATACAAATGCATTTGAGCGATGGCTATGTGAAATTACACAAAAATTTACTTTTGCAGGAAACAAAGTCTTATTTCTGGGAGAAAACCTCTTTCTAAAAACAACAACAAAATGCCTGAATATTTGAATTGTTATACAGCTAGGATCAGGCACATTCTGCCTGCCTGTAGAACATACTTACCAATTTTGGGGACACTGGCTCTCCTTCAGCTCTCCAGACCCCTATAACAGAAAGAGGGGGGGAAATGGAATTAGATTACAGATTTATGAGATGTTCATCAAAAGCTGAAAATTCAAAGATTTCTGATTTTAGGAAAGAAGTAGAACTAGAACATAGCCTCCACAAGTTAAAATGCAAAAAGAAAAGAAAGTTTTTACAGCAAAGAAAGAATGCAAGAGGGGCCGGGGAGATGGCTCAGTAGGATAAGTGCTTGCCTGGCAAGTGCAAGGGTCTGAGTTCAATCCCCAGTTCCACCAAAAAAAAAAAAAAAAAAAAAAAAAAAAGAATGCAAGAGCATTTAAAAAAAACACGGGCCAGGTGTGGTGGCACAGGCCCATAATCCCAGGCCTTGGAAGGCTGAGGCAGGAGGACTGCCATGGGTTCAAGGTCAGCCTGGACTACATAGCGAGATCCTGTCTCAGACAGACAAACAAACAAATAAATGCAAACAAAAGAAAATCAAGAGAAGTACAGTTGAAACTTGAACAATGGGGGGCAATTAGGGAAGAGGAGCACAACATCTGTCAAAGTCAACAATCAGAGTATAACTTCTGACTCTTCAAAAACTTAAACAGTAGATTAACACATTTTACACATTGTCTTTACTATTCAAAAATACAGTGAAACATAGGTGATAACCACAAGGTAAGCAATTTACAGAGAGATGAACTGCTCACACGGAGATGATTAGCATCACGCAGTGCCTGCAGCGGATCCTTGCAACACTTGAGCTCTCACGCCGCACAGCAACAGGAGGTGCCTGTGAGATTATTCCAGCAGGACAGCGTGCGCCACAGTGCACTGAAGGCGGGCATGACTGAGTGCTGCCTGTTAATGTTTGTTTACATTTCTCTTGACTGTAAACAGCTGCACGTTTTATCTTTTATAATAGATGCGGGTATATTTATTAGTAATAAGTGATAAAATACTTACATGTATGTTACACATTCGTGACATTTTTCTAAAAAATTTTCAGTATTTTTAGGATATGCAATTCAACTGTTTTACAAATTGTTACAAATCTAAAAAAAAAAAGTTGAATATAAGTGGACTGGGCAGTTCAAATCTATGTTGTTCAAGGTTCAACTGTAGTTGATAGTTTTTCTTTTCTAAGAAACACACAGAAATGACATACACCTCATCTAAGTAACACACAATGGCATCCTCATCCACCACAAGAGACCTTCACTGTTGCTGCCTTATGTGAATAAAGTAAACTAGTATCACCAGTCCATACTTTGGTCCACTGAAAAGGTCACTTTCCAAATAATCTTGATATGCATTTGTCTCGTATAAGGCTTTAAAATTCATGGTATTATATAATGCATAAAATAGTAAAGAAATATACAGTACAGTCAGAATTTTAAAATCTTCATTTACAGTCTTAATAATACCTTATCACTTTAAACTGTAAACCACGGACACAAAAGTCATTCTTTTTCTCTATGCCACATGTGTAAACAGTGATAAAGCCAGAAGAAAGTCAAGGTTTTGGTATTCCAAGCCAATATCAGGAAACAAAAATTGGAACTTTGCCCCTAACATTTTAGCATTGAATTATTTAAATTCCACGTGTCGTGCTCTGCAAGAGCCCTCCCTACACTTTACGTTTGCTGACTGGTGCTACTCCAATCATGTCCCTTTCCTCAGGGGATACTTCAAAAAGACTTCACATCATCCAGATTACAAATCTTTGTTTAACCATGTACAGTCACATCAAATGCACAGTAAAATTAGCTTAAAAGGTTCCAATTCATGCAGTTTGCATTCATTTACAAAATAAATTCATTTGGCATGGCAGTGCACACCTGTAATCCTAGTTCTTGGGAGGGTGATGCAGGAGGATCACCTGGGCTACACTGTGAGTTCAAGGCTGGCCTAAACTACATAGCAACACCCTATCTCAAAAAAACAAACAAAAACATTTAATTTGATGTTCTATCCTGCCTTTTCTTTAGCACTAGTCTTTTTAAAAGTTGTCAGGTCCAACTAAATGACAACTTCAATCAACTAGATTAGCATGATTCTCAACTAAAAGAAAATTGACTCAAAGCCTATAGTGATACAATTATTAAAAGTAGATTCCTAACATTACAGTTACTTACAGGATTCTCCCCCTGCCCCCAGTGTTTTTGAGACAGGGTCTCACTATGCAGTTTAGGCTGGCCTTGAGCTCACTTTGTAGCCCAGGCTGGTCTTGAACTCACAATGATCCTCCTGTCTCAGCCTCCCAAGTGCTGGGATTACAGGCGCGCACCACCATGCCCAGCTACCTACAGCATTCTATATCTCTCAAAAGATACCCGACTAGTACAAGGAACACAGTAAATTGTTAAATTATGCTCGGTCTTAGGCAAAACGCTGAGAAGCGAATTGTTTGTTAAATTAATGAAGTGACTGAATGGACATCTAGGCTATCTGTTTCAGGCTTCTCTTCTCTATTATGGCTTTCTGTTTAGCTCTTTCAGGATAAGCGTAACTCACAATTCATATCTCCCAAAGCACTGTTTGTTACATGAATGACTTCTAAAACTATTTCTATCCATACTGTTGACTAGGAAGTAATTTTAGGTAAAGACTAGTAACTTGGACTAAACTAAATTAAGAATTTCTGTTCATCCAAAATAATACAAGAAAAACTAGTGAAAATGAGAAGCAAGTCACAGAACTGGAGATGATAACTGTAATACAATCAACAAAGGCATATACTGGGAATTATAAATATGTAGAAACTCAAAGCGATCAGGATAGGATGGCATTTTAACTTCTATTTATACAGCATCTGAGAAAGTATGATCACATGAACTTTTCTCAAAAGTCATATTCAATTTGGCAGCATAATATACAGATACACTTTATCTCCAGGGCGTTATCTCCAAAACTGTATAGCAGAGAAAATCCTCAACGGATGAATAGTTTTACCATGAAGCCACAATACCATGAAACTGCTCAGAGAGGTGCTTACAGGGACTATGTACCCAGGACACACAGGAAAGGTTAAGTGACTTCCTCAAAACTTACTCAGCTTCTAGCAGCTGGTGGCACAGCGAGGGAAGAGACTGCAAGCCCCGAGTTTCCTCTGACCAAGCTCCTTTGCCCACTACCCTTCACTTGAGAGTCAGTTACTCTTTAAAGAAATAAAACTACAATAATCATGGGAAACATTTTTGGAAAGTTTATATATAAAGTTTTAAAGAAAAATCACTTAAGCCATCTAGAGCAGGTTTTAAAGTATGAAATTCTTTATTCTTAAAGGATCCCGTGAGTGGACTTCAGAGAGGTCTGTTGCCTAAATGGTACTAAACTATACGTACAGTGTTCAACGAAGAGTCGCACCTCTGATCAGATTTGACAAAAGGTTCAGATACATCAAAAGAATAAATTATCTTTTTTTTTTTTTTTTTTTTTGAGTGAGGGCAAAACTGAAGATTGAACCCAGGGCCTTTACACTAAGCTAAATCCCCAGCCTTTTTCTTTCCTTTCAATTTTTTTTTTTTCTTGAGGAACCGAGGATTGAACTCAGGCCCTTGTGCTTGCCAGGGAAGCACTTATTCCACTGAGCCATCTCCCCAGCCCCACTTTCAATTTTTTGAGACAAGATCTCACTAAGTTTTATAAACAGAGCCCAAACACACATTCTTCCTTCCTCAAACTCCCAGTGCTGGAAGTAAAGACCAGTAGTTTTCAAACACTACACTTGAACACCCAAAGTGCTTCTTCTGCGGACTGATTAAATGGCTATTAGTTGAAAACTGATAAAAGAAGAAAAGCTAATATTTTATTTCTATAACTTAATAAGGCTGAGTGGCAATAATACTTCATATATAAACAGTATCTAAGTCTAAAATGCAAATCTAATTTCTTCATGTTAAGCTGATTTAGAACTCTACCAGAATTGTTTTCCACATATATCTCATACAATAACTAAGGTTGTTCAAAACTTTATTTGCTTAAAAATCTTAAATGTAAATTTGTTCTTGAAAATACATTCAAGAGTAAACTGTAGTACATGAAATTATTTTTGCTTTTAAAGCTAAATGTTATTTTGCTAACAGAACTTCACACCATTTTTTTGCAAATTGAAGATTGTTCACCTTTCCAAAACTTCACAGGTAGCTTCTTTAATTAGAACTGGCAAAGAAACAAATCATTCAGATTTCTGGTATGGTTATGAAATTTAAGATATTATAAATAAATCAAAGGGGTTTTTTTGGTTTTGTTTTTTGTTTTTTGCAGTACCAGGGATCAAACTTGAGACCTTGTGCTTTCCAGGCAGGTGCATTTACGCCACTGAGCTACCCCCCTGGCCCAAAATCAAAGTATTAATAACTACTCTTCAAGTATTTTTTGTAAAGTATCTGAAACCTTGTGTATAAAGAGTCTATGTTAAATAAACAAATTCTTTTTTTTTTTTTTTTTTTTTTTTTTGGTGGAACCAGGGATTGAACTCAGGCCCTTGCACTTGCCAAGGGAATAAGGCAAGCGCTTATTCTACTGAGCCATCTCCCTGGCCCTAAATAAACAAATTCTGCAACCAAAAAAAAAAGTTTTAACACTAGATCATTTTTAAATTAGGCTAAAATTTAATTCACCCCACTAAAAAATTCAAACGATTAAATTTATAGCCTGTGCTCAATCATAAATTTTGATAAGGGACTAGAATAGCTCAGATAATTGTCATTCAAAGATACTTTAAAATGTCACCTTACCCAAAAGATTCAATCTCCTCTCTTCCCCTACTATACCAAGCTAACAATAGTCCACTAAGTTTTATATGCGATAGCCTTACTGCTTTTTATCTGCCCTTCTTAATGTTCAATAGAAAATACTGTATAAAAAATTTGAAAACACAAGTAAGTGGATAGAGGCAAGTGCAGGATCTCACTTAACGCAGTGAAGTCGTTTAGGCCCAACAGCATACCCACCCGTGGGGCCCCTGCGCTCCAGACCCTGCACAGATGCACCTCCAGCACTTCTTCCTTTAATCTCATGAAGCATCTAT